GTTATATATAATTGATACACATACACATGTGTGTGCAAATGGGAGGGGAGAATTATTTCCATGGCTGGGAGAAACTCTGGGAAACTTTCATAGATGGGGGGAAAAATCATTCGCTGAAGATCAGATTTCACTAAATACTTTGTTATCATCTCATTTAATTCCCACTTAACCCTCCAAGTTAGGTATTTTTTACTCCCATTTTGTAGATAAGGAAACTGGGGCTCAGAGAAGATAAATAATTTGACCAAGGTCATATACCTAGTGAATAATCAAGTTGGCAATCACACTCCCAGTAGTCTGCTGCCAAAGCTCAGGTTGTTGTTCCTACACAAGATCTCCTCCTCGCCCTCCGCCCGCAGATAAAAACACGGTGATGACATCTGAGCTCAGCCCTCATGATTACAGCAGATTCTGCGGCCCATCTGCAGGGAGGGAGGGCAGAAGCATTCCAGGTGTAGCCAACAGCCTGGAGATGGGAAAGTTTCAACCAAGTGGGGGAAGGCGGGTTGCCACATTTTACACAACTGAGTACTGGCCGCATAAAGTGGAGAGGTCTGGAGAGAGAAAGCCAGTGAGTGAGTCTCCACTTTCCCTGTGATATGCTTGGAACATATGGTAAAGTGCATTTCTTAAACTACTTAAAAATGATTATAAGTAGAACATTTTGAAGGTATTTGAAAGTACTGTTTTATGACAATAATTTTCACCCTCAATTACAAATATCCAATAATGCAAACTATTTTAGCAGAAGGCTGACTTTCTCCACATTTCCAATTCCTCCAGCCGCCTCTGTTTTTCTCTCTCTGTAAAAATGCTATCTGGAGATTTAAACCATAAGATTAAAGACTAGAGAAAACTAAATACCATTAACTTAGATGAATGACAAATGTCCTATCGTGCCAACTGACACTTAAGTATTTTTAAATGAGTATTTTTAAGTATTTTAAATTTTCAATATTATATAACTGAACTGATTTAAATATTTTAAGAAGTTTAATAATATTTCAAGTTTAAAATTTGGGGGTGAGGTATGGCACCCAGTGGGTATGGTGCCCAGGGGAACACTTTGTAAAGTACATGACTCTCTAAACACTATGCTGCACACCTGCAACTAAAATATTGAATGTAAACTATAATTGGAAAAAAACTGAGGGAGGGATAAATAAAATATTACAGCCTAAAGCGATATAAATACTAATGTGTCAGGGACCAGTAAATGTGCCCTCACCCAAATAAGAGAAGACGGAAGGGTAGGTGGGGCATGCATAGCTACATGTTTAATAAATTATTTATCAATAAATACCCAGAAATGCTAGTTGCTACTACAGAAAAAACCTTTCCCTGTGGTCCAGGCTGCACTAAGAGGGTTTTTTGGTTTTGTTTAATTTATTTATTTTTAGAGAGGGAGGAAGGAAGGGAGAAAGAGAGGGAGAGAAACATCAATGTGTTGGTGCCTCTTGCACGCTCCCACCAGGGACCTGGCCCACAACCCAGGCATGTTCCCTGACTGGGAATCAAACCAGCAACCCTTTGGTTCACAGGCCAGCACTCAAGCCACTGAGCCACACTAGCTGGGCTGTATTAAGAGTTTAAATTGTACATTCTTCTAAGTTCTCACAGCCTCCAACCACTGGGAAGGAAGGCTGCTCCAGGCAAGGCAAGGAGTGCAGAAGGGCTGGGATTTTTAGGAGAGCCACACCAGCTGTCAGACTTACAATACAAACACCAGGACATAAAATCACTGCCTCCCAGATGTCTCATGTACCCTTGTCTCTTGTAGGGCACCCACCTGGCTCACCGAGTCCCTGGTAATGCTGATGACAGAGCAAATGCTGACTAATGACCCAGATCCTGAAGGTCTCCAACTAAAAGGAACAGCTGAAATGAGGGCTACTGAAACTAAATGTTATGACCTGATTTATGATTTCCTGAACATCACGTAAACAAAGGAGAGATTGCGAAAGGACACTATAATCATTATTTGCAGCACCGAAAGGGATCTTGCTTTTTAGAACCAAGGAGTCTTTGCACAAGGGAAAAAGTAAAGTGCAATCACTGTACTAACTATACTAATATTCCAGCTTGCCCTACATGTTTTTAAACATTCAATTTGAATTTTTTCATGGAGTCAAACTTTGATGGGGGGAGGGCAGTCCCTCCTTCTTTCACCTCTCCCCCCAACCATCTCCCCACCCCTCTCTTCCCCCAGTGCTCCTTGTCTTTGGCTCTCAAATTCCTGCCCCTCCCCTCTGCCCTCTCCCCTTCCCTCATCTCTTCCCCTCCATTCTCTCTGGCTCTTCACTCCTTTCTCCCCATCTACTACCCCACTCTCTCCTCCTCTCTCTTTACTCCACCCTTTTCTCCTCAACCCTTCTCCTCCCCCTTCTCTCTTATCCTCTCTCTTTCCTCCCCCTGAAAGATGTGAAAAGCAATTTTAGTCCATCCTGGTTTATCTTGAGTAATGCAAGCCTGGCCTCAACTTTGCCTAAGGATCCAGGCCAGGAACAGTAGCTTACGCAAAGCTGACTGGAACACGACTTTCAATTCCTGACTCACATAACTGAATTTAAGCCACAATAATGGCAGAATAACATCTCAAAAGAGGTGAGTCTGAAAACATCCCAGTGAGAACATGGGATGGAAAGGAAAGGATAGAAAGATGCCCTACAGGTGCATCAACCCAAGACCATCTCAGTCTGGAAAATGGGCTGCTCCCCCAAGGTTGCCCTCTCCAGAACTCCAAGGATTCTGGAGCCATTTATCAGGAGGATGCCCAGTCACGTGGCAGCTGCCTTAATCTTGGAGTTTACCATCAGCCTGTCAGAAAGCGTGAGCAGGCAGTTATGTTGGGCACCAGCTGATTTTGGATGGCCAACCTTAAAAGCCATTAGTGTGACCATCCCATGGGAGTGATTTTTTCCCCCAGTGCCAGTTTTTATTTTGATGGGAGTCTTAATGTCAAATTGCCTAGGAAAAAGGAATCTGCAGGTATTTTGTGTAAGAAAAACATGATCCTGGAGTCTGATAACAGACCAGTTTTTTTTTTGTTGTTGTTGTTTTTCTTCCTCTCCAGGGATAGGGGAACTTGCAACTTGTGTTCACCCTCTTTAGATAAAGGGTATCTGGGAGTGAGCACTGGCACCAGCCCATGAGACAGGACAGAAAGGAAGGCAGCATAGACAGAAGCCACAGACTTTGACTCCAGTTTTGACACTTTCTGGCCGTGAAGCTCTGGGCCAGCCTTGGCTGTCTCCCCTCATCCGTGAAATGGAGATGCTGTCCATGTAGGTGACTACATCGTGGGGCTGGTATGAGACTGAGGAAGGTGTCCCTTATGGTATATGATAGGACCCCAATAAATGCTGGCCCTCCCAGCCCCCACTGAAACTTTGCTACTTTTACCTAGGAAGAATTAATTTTGATCATTCCCAAGCTCATATTTGGTATTCAGATAAACAGCGACCAATTACTTGTCCAAAAACTTGTCTAAGTCCATAAAACTTACCTGGTGAAAGCCACTTTTTGAATTAGTGGGTGCATTTTCACGTTTCTTATTTTCAGTAAAGCCCAAATAGTTTTTCAATTTATTTAATTTTAACTTATGTGGGACACTTTTGTAATGGACTAGATAAGATTCATTAATTCCACAAAGCAAATGGGAGCTGTAAATATATATTAAGCTATATTAAGCTAATGTCTATGGAGCACTATTTTCCAAATATTGGGTTAAGCATTTTATATGTATTTAAATGCATTTCTATCTCATTTAAACATAACAATTCTGTAAGACAGATACTATAATTATCCCCATTTTAAAGATGAAGAAACTAAGGTGAGGGGTAAATGCCCCTGGTGACATAGTAAAGGGCCAAGAACAGGGAGGGAGCCCCCTCTTAACACTACACAAACTGCATTCTCTTTTCAAAACAGTGCTGACTCACATCTTTATATCCTTCAGAAAGACTTCAAATATTCAAATGAAAGAATGTTGGCAATCTCCCCATGTTCTAAACTCCCAACTGAATTAGATTTTCAAAAACACTTCTTCTCCTTGCTGTATTTGAGAGAAGAATCTGAACTCATCAGCATAGTCCACAAGGAAAACGGAGATTTAACCACCTGCTTCCCTGAACTTTTCTCTGCCGGTTCTCCTTAGTTATTTCTGTGTTTTTCTCCTGCCTCCCATTTGTCTTAAATAGCAGATATTTATGATCACCACATATTTGTGAATAGTCCCGCAGAAGAGACCAGATAACGTTGCTAGTAAATAAGTAGGGAGAGAAAAAAGACAGAGCAACGGTACCAACTCAATTCACGAAAACCACAAAAGAACACATAAAACAAAACAAATTCCACTGAAGGCTTTCCTACAGCTGTAATGGTAGCAGGTAAGAGCCACCTCTCCCTTATGTAGGGCCATGTGGGAAACCTGGTGACCCCGCTTGCACGTGCTAACCTGCCCACCTGCCCGTCCCCAAAGGGAGCAGTTTTTGAAGCGGGAGAATGGAAGTGAGTATTTCCAGTTCAGAGTGGATGGGCTCGCAGAACCCGAGCTCCTTCAACCGCTAATGCCAACTGGTCTATACAAAAGAAAGACGAAATCTAACAAGCCCACGCAGCAGCCCATGCTGACGGTGAGGTGGGCGCCCCGCGGCTGGCGGGTAGCAGCTGCTCGCCCTCACAGGGATGGTCCCTCGCTAACTCACCCTTGCAGTCCGACCCGGTTGCGGACCGATGGAAACTCCCAACGATCTCGCGGGCGTCACTCTCCACCTCCCGCTCCTGGGAGGACACACAAGGCACCGCGCTGCATCTGTGCCCCAGGGGACAACCCTGGCACGGGAGTCGACAGGAGGTGATGCGTGGCCAGAGGAGAGCTCCCAGCCGTGTGTGCCCACCTGGTGGCGCCCCTCCGGCTGTTCAGCCCCCAGCCGGGCTGCGGCGCCCCCTGCGCCTCAGACACCACGCCCCTACCTGGGGACACCGGCCCCCAACCTCACCTCTCGCTGTATCCTCCTGTTCCGCCGCCATCGCAGGAGCCGCTGGGCCTGCGGAGCAGCCCCAGGGCTGGCAGCATGGAGCGCCCGGAGCCCACCCTGCGCCGGCACAGGTGGCGATCCCAGGCGCGGGCTCCCGCACCCGCGGTGTTCGGCCAGGCGCCACGGCAGCCGCCACTGCAGCCCTGGGCGCAAAGCCAGCCTCGACTCACCACCTCCGTCTGGCCGGGTATCCGGAGCTTGCGGACTGGGCCTCGCTGGCCAGCGGGTCTGGGCGTCGCGGGGCTTGGGCTGGAGAAGGAGACCCGGCGCAGGGCGGAGTCACCGCAGGTACCGCCCAGCCGACCCCAGGGCTGGAGGCAAAGTGTGGCCAGGCTGGTGAGGTAGCGCCTTGAGTCATTCTGGAAACCGGCCTATTTAAAACAGGTCTCCACGATCGCTTTAAGACGCTTTAAGACTCGTTGTCTGAGTGCTCCCAACGTTTGGAGTTGTTTCCCTTGGGGAAAATGGCAAAGGATGAATGGAGACCGTCGCGTGAGGAGGAGGGGATGGGGGGAGGGGTGGGTAAGGGGTGAGCTGTCCCTGGCTCTTTGCTACCTAGAGAAGAAGGGCTTAACTGCAGAGATGAGGCTGTAATGACCGAGGAAGCTGTTTGTGAATCTGAAACGGCTGGGTAGATTCAGAAGCAAGGTCCCTTGGGGATCCCTCTGACAGCCCTTCATCCCGTGTGGAAAATGCTGGTTCGCTCCTTGCCCACTGGTGCCTGAACGGGTTCCTTGGTTACAGTTTGCCTAGTAGAAATCATGGAGAAAAGAAAACACTAAAGCTTTGCTTCAAACAGCCTAAATCTATTAATGATCTTACTGGTACACTTTTTGATCGCATCTTAACTAGAGGTTTACGTGTCCTGAGGGCTACTTAGAGGCCGAGCCCGGGCTAGCGGATTGGAAGTGTGTTCCCAGGTAGAAGTAGGCAGTTCAGGAGAGAACTGTTAGGGTCTTAACTGGGGCTTGGGATCACATGCTGCTGGGGGTGGAAGAAGTGCTGAAAACGGTGCCACCTTTAATAAAACACACTGACACACCCTAATGAAAACCACTCTGGAAACATCTCCATCCTAGCTTTGATTTGGAATTGTGCCTGAAATCCACCTATACCAACTTCTGCTGGCAGCTCAGAAAGAAATATTCCGCAGAGAGCCTGGAAAAGAGTCTTAACATCCGGGCTAGGGCTCCTTGCTGTATTCAAACCTTGGTTTTCCAGAGAAGTGCACACTGTTTTGAGATGCTTTTTCCCAAGAAGGGGAGGTTACTTTTAGACCTGGGCATATGGTAAATAATGCCTTAATTGTGAAGCAGAATTTCTAGGACCCCGGTTAAAATGTATACATTGTTTGCTTACAAATCACCTTTGTGAGTTGGGTGAACACCAGTAATCCTTACTATTAGGCAGAGATTCGGAGATTTTGAGTATTTTGGCCAGGATCACTCAGTAGCTGGTAGAAGCCAGGCGGTAAAAATCAGATCTCCTTCTTAGGAGATCACACCAATAAGCTTGCTGTGAATCATTGCAGTCCTTATTGCTAAGAAACAATGATTCATTTCCACCCAAAAGCCTGGAAACCAGAGAGAAGGAATCCAGAACTTAAACATGATAGGAGGAGATGTAATGCACAAGAAGAGACCAACCGGGTTCAGCAGGGCCTCTCTCCTAGGGTTCCCCTTATTGTTCAAAATCCTACTTACGACTTTTTTCTTATGCTCTAGAGCTTTACTTTCTGACATGATTTTTTCCTTAAGAGTAGTTTTATTGTATGGCGTAGACTAAGACAGAGAGCCACACAGTATCTTTACAGATGGATCTCTCATTTCCAACCAGTAGTCTTCTTATATTTTCTCCTTGGGCAAAACATAACAAAACTGATTTGAAACATAAGTAGAATGCATGTATATACACAGTTCTTCTGGTCTATGCGGTTTCCTTGCCAAAAGCCCAGGAACAGCTTTGCTCTTCAGGAGTCCTCACCAATCCTAGAGTGAACTTAGTTTGTTCATTAACTTTGCTTCACACCACGTACTCGGAAGAACAACACTGGAATTAGAATGCACTGCCTTGCAAACTACAAATTCCTATGCTTGTCAACTTTCTGCTGGGATTGCAATTTAGTTTGGGGTTCCTTTAAGGCCACTTAGATATTTTAGTTGGTCCAGGACACACAAAAATTCACCTGCTTCAGAGTGTGGGGAGATACTATGTATTTCTAGTGATGCATACAAATAAAAATAAATAACAGCTGCCCATTAATGAGCTTGTAAGTGATTGGGGAAAGTAGCTAAATTATTAATATTTACACTACCCTTTCTTTCCCACTGCCCCCAACCCACCCCTAGCATTCTCTGAAGGGTGAATACTTGGGAGGATTCTTGGATTTGCTGAGCAGGTTGATGACTGGAGGTGCCGTGGGAGAAATAGGCAGGCCAAATGTGTCTAAAGGGATCAGTGTGAGCTTGGCCTCTGACGGTAAAAAGCAGAGATGGTAATTGCAGGAGGGTTTACTTATAATGGAGGGGAAAGGTTGTGGTGGCAGTTGCCATGGGGTAGGCATTTAGGGAGCTTCACTGTGTAGTGCAAACCCTTGTACATTCTTTTTCTAGAAAATAACAACTTTAGCAAAAGCTACATTCCTTTTCAATGCTTTTAGACTTTATATATATATTTTATTAAAAGTGAAAACAGCCCTGGCTGGTGTGGCTCAGTGGATTGAGCAGCAGCCTACAGACCAAAAGGTCGCCGGTTCGATTCCCAGTCAGGGCATATACCTGGGTTATAGGCTGGGTCTCTGGTTGGGGGTGTGCGCGAGGCAACTGATGTTTCTCTTGCACATTGATGTTTCTCTCTTTCTTCCCTCCTTTCCCCTCTTTCTAAAAATAAGTAAAATATTTTAAAAAGTGACATTTTGAGATTGGCTTTAGATGGAAAGTAGAGCCACACATACAGCATACAGCAATTTAATTCATTTGTTCACAAATGAATTCATGAACAAATGTAGAGTGTCTACACTGTACCAGGCATGGCACTAAGCACTGACTTTTGTACTTCACCTACTGCACACCCTGCTCCATATAGATGTTCTCACAACAATCGGTGAGGCAGCATTTAGTTTTGGGAAAGTTCAGCCGGCGCCTTTTCCCTCAGCTCAGTGGTCCCGCCCCCCCCCCCCGTGCACGTGCACGAGGATGTGCAGGATTTCAGACCCACCTCCAGAGTCTCTGACGGAGTGGGCTTGGGGTGAGATACACTGGGCCCTTATCTGAAAAGAGCCCCCTGGCTGGTTTTGAAATGGTTGCTCTGAGTATTCCGCTTGAGGAAGTAGTGCTCCAACTTATCAAAGATGAATTTTCTTAAGCATAGGCAGAGGCAGTGGGTAAGTCATGTGTATGTGTGTTTTATCAGTCAGAGGACAGGAATAGCAATAAACTAAAATTCTGAGGAAAATACAGGGAGGTATAAAATTTAGGACAAGAATGAGGGAATTGTTGTGCTAACATACATCTCTTTGCATATGGGCTTATTGCTTCAAGTTATTTTTTCCATTAGATTGTGTTTTTGTGTGTTTATGTGTCAAAAGCTGAACTAATTTTTACTTTTGCAAATTTCGGACACTTTTAAAGCAAGTATGGTGCCCCAGGTCCTCCTCCTCAGTCCTCCCTGAATTGTACAGAATTCTACAGAATTCTTTTTTAAATATATTTTATTGATGCTATTACAGTTGTCCCATTGCCCCCCCCTTTATTCCCCTCTGCCCTGCACACCCACTCCCACCCCCCACCCCCACTTTAGTTCATGTCCATGGGTTGCACATTTAAGTTCTTTGGCTTCTGCATTTCCTATACTATTCTTAACCTCCCCCTGTCTTTTTTCTACCTACCATTTATGCTTCTTATTCCCTGTACCTTTTCCCCTCTCTCCTCCTCCTACTGCCCTGCTGATAACCCTCCATGTGATCTCCATTTCTGTGATTCTGTTCCTGTTCTAGTTGTTTGCTTAGTTTGTGTGTGTTTTTTTTTAGGTTCAGTTGTTAATAGCTCTGAGTTTGTTGTCATTTTAGTGTTCATATTTTCTTATCTTCTTTTTCTTAGATAAGTCTCTTTAACATTTCATACAATAAGGGCTTGGTGATGATGAACTCCTTTAACTTGACCTTATCTGAGAAGCCCGTTATCTGCCCTTCCATTCTAAATGATAGCTTTGCTGGATAGAGTAATCTTGGATGTAAGTCCTTGCCTTTCATGACTTTGAATACTTCTTTCCAGCCCCTTCTTGCATGCAAGGTTTCTTTTGAGAAATCAGCTGATAGTCTAATGGGAACTCCTTTGTAGGTAACTGTCTCCTTTTCTCTTGCTGCTTTTAAGATTCTCTCCTTATCTTTAATCTTGGGTAATGTAATTATGATGTGCCTTGGTGTGCTCCTCCTTGGGTCCAACTTCTTTGGGACTCTCTAGGCTTCCTGGACTTCTTGAAAGTCTATTTCCTTCGCCAGATTGGGGGAGTTCTCATTCATTATTTGTTCAAATAAGTTTTCAATTTCTTGATCTTCCTCTTCTCCTTCTGGTACCCCTATGATTCAGATATTGGAACGTTTAAAGATGTCCTGGAGGTTCCTAAGTCTCTCCTCATTTTTTTGAATTCTTGTTCCTTCATTCTGTTCTGGTTGAATGTTTTTTTCTTCCTTCAGCTCCAAACTGTTGAGTCCAGGTTTCCTTCCCATTACTGTCAGTTCCCTGTAGACTTTTCTTTATTTCACATAATGTGACCTTCATTGCTACTTGGGTCTTTTTAATGCTGTTGAAGTACCCAGTGAGTTTCTGGAGCATCCTGATAACCAGTGTTTTGAACTGTACATCTGATAGGTTGCCTGTCTCTTCATGGCTTATTTGTATTTTTTCTGGAGCTTTGGTCTGTTCTTTCATTTGGACCTTTTTTTGTGTCTTGGTGTGCCTGCCAGATATAAGGGGTGGAGCCTTAGGTGTTCACTGTGGGGGGGGGCAACCCATGTCGCTGCGTTATGATGCTATACATGGTGGGGGGGTCGAGAGGGAACAATGGCATTTGCCCCGCTTTCTGCTTCCCACAACCAAAGTAGGCCCTTCTGGTGGTGATTCCCGTGTGGGTGGGTTTGCGCTCTAGGACCCTATGGGTCTCTCCAGCAAACTCTCCTGTGAGGCTGGGTGTTCCTCCCACTGCCAGCTCAATCCCTACAGGTGTTTTCAATCGGT